TCACATTTTTTTCTGAATTTAAGTAGAAAAATAGGCTATTTTCGAACCAAATGTATGAAAAACAGTGGAGCTGATTCTCTTCTTTTATCTGTGCTTTTTTTTCACTCTTTTCCCATTTGATAGAGAATCGCATTTCTTTATAAAAATGCTGACCTACGTTTAAATTGGGCATTGTTCACCTAGTTTATTTTTGGTGGTCTGCGAGTTTTTAGATACCATTCTGTCAGTAGCTTTTTATCACTGTCCTTTATCGATCTTTTAGCGGTCGTCGAGATACTTGCCGAAATGTGACGTTGAGACTGACTGCGAAGCAAAAACGTCGGCAGCTTTTTCCAGACAAATAAAGTCATTACTGTAATTAAGTTCAAGGTATGTGTGGAGAATGAAAACACTCACATTTTTGCTAAAATCTTAGCAGGAAAAGTACCAAAAAGCAAGAAATTTGTTAAAGGCTGGAGCCCTGATAAAGAATACATCATCCAGACATGTATCGCAAAAGTTATTCACATTTTTACAAGGTCTGACGTGTAACTTCCAGACACCTTATAACACGGAGAAGTTGTGCTAATGCCCCTGAGTTTTCCTAAAACAAAGTGAATTTGCTTTTAAAAATTTTCTCATCAAGTTAATAATGAATTCCTCGATAGGTTTCAGTTGTAGATTAATTCTACAGTTGGGCATAGCCGAAAGTGCTCAAGTTGGATGGATTTTAATAACTCGGCATTGCGCGATTTACTCATTCAAATAAAGTTAAGTTTAAGGGAGCTGAAGTCTGCTTAAAGTTTCTTTTTGGAGCCTCTAAACTCTTTTTTGTTTGCTTTAGTGGCACTGTTGGACAGACTCGAAGTTAACGTCTTTTTTGTGAAAGTAAAAGTTTAAACATGGAAATCAGTTTCTTCGCGTCAGTGAGCGGTTACAAGAGTATAACCGTAACCAGCTGAAGCCGTACGTAACAAAACTAATACTGGCGGGGGACATATTACTAATTTTTACTTAATCACCGACGAATCATGCTCTGACGTAAGATTGACGCTCGTAGTATCTCATTGGCGGTAAAGGCCTGCAGAGACTCGTCTAGTCCCTTTACATCTAGAACGTTGGCCCAGTGATAACTTAGTGCTACTAATGAACTAAGTAAAAAAATTTCAGTATATGGGACTATTGCTGCTGTGTTGTGACACACGGTCATTTAGCTCCACGCTTCACCCAGCATGCTGAGGCCTTTAACTGGAAGAGCAGCGTTAGCGTTTCACTGCGCAGACTTAGGAATTTTAGTACTTTGCAGCTGTCGAGCTTCTCTAATTGTTCAGTGCATTTGACTTTTCCTCCATACTCAGCCACAGATAATGCTGGCACTATTTTTGGTCAACTCCGATACTTCCTTGTAAGTTCACTGGTTAATTTGAGAGTGGCCTTCAAGCTGAGACGCCTCGGTGGCTGTACGGGATGGCTTTATCAGGCGATTTACCAGTATATTTCCATAATAGACGAGGTTTTCTGTGATGAACATTTGCTAAGCTTCACTCATATATGCTTTAATGGTGAGAAACCTCGTCCCCAAGACGAGGCCTTCTGTAAAAAAAAATAGGAGTTTAAAAACGCTCCTGTTTTCTGCTAATAAGTTGTGTCGTTGACAATCGTAGAATGCTTAAAAATGTGAGCACATTTCAAACTTGGATAATTAAACCTTTGTTACAGGAAAAAACACAAATCGTTAAATTACTAGTTAACGACATGTAGTAATAAGCATAACAAAAAATAACGACCGATAATGGGCTAAGTCAAAGGTAAAGAAAATTAAGCGATTAAAGCTTAAAGGAAGGAAATTAGCTGGTCGACCGCGCGGTATTGTGTGTCGTCATTATAATGACTTCTTTATTTCTGTTGATCTGTCGGAACGATCGGCCTTTATCAATGTGCAAACATTTGGTTGTTTACATGGTTGCTTTTCTGGCGACCTGTGCTAATCGGTTTCCATACTGCCTGATAACCGTAGCTTTTCAGCTGCGACACCATCCTCGTCTGCCACCAGAGATTATAATAATTGCTCGACTTGGAATTCATCCCATTGCATGAAGAGAAAGGCTGTCACTACTGTCGTCTCAAATATTATTTTTGGCGGCTTGATGCTTACTTCTAGCCTCAATGCTTTGCCTTCTTTGAATTCTTGACCGTCATCCTGCACCGTATTATTGATGCATTCCGCAGCCAGTAAACATTTGGCCTGCTCACTGCTCATATCTTGGTACGCGTGGATCCTCTCAGTTAACACGATACTTCTGACACTTCTCGCGCGCAGTCCCAGATATTTGTAGTCTGCTAATGGTGACTGAAGTATCAAGATTTGGTTTGGTTGGATTGATTTTGCTGGCGTTTCCAGGTCTTTCTGACATTGCTTTGGACCGCCAGATTTGTCGAAGCGGTGACGCATGCAGCTGCAGATGTTCGTTTTCCTTTTGATTAATCTAGCGATGCATTTGAATATTCTGTAATCATATGCTTTTTTCCCGTTGCCTCGAGAGCATAAACGCAAAACTTTTGGTCATTTTGGTTCGCCGTGGCTTCCAGCACTTCATTTTGTTGGTGAATGAGCTCTGCATTGAGACAGTTGACCATTGGTTAGCGACCAGTGTAACTTGGTCGTCCTCATTTTACAGAGTAGTCTTAAGAATCGCTATCGTTTGAGAATATCACTGTTTATGAAGCTTCCAGTTGACCACTCGTCTCTTAGCCCTTGTTCTGTAAATTCACACTTGATAAAGTCTGGATTTGGGCAGAATTGTAGTCCGGAGGTGGATCTGCCATGTGTAACGTATAGGATGAGTTGCAACGGGAGGTCCATCACGTTACGACTCAATAGATATCTGATGAAGGTTGTTCTGAACTTGTCGACATACAGCTTTCCAGTAATCACTTTAAGCCGCTTCAACAAAAATACGGGTTTGTGCGCAGTGCTTTCATTCTCAGTTCAGTATCCCTCTTCAATGACGTCGTCGTTCAAATGTCTATTCGTGTAATATTGGGCGGCGCGGAATAGACAAATGAATTGCTTTCCGCAGGGTCAGTTCAAACATTTTGACGGTGATTTGCATGTTGCACAACCAGTAAACAGTGCTAATGTAGGTCAACGTTTCTAGTTTTTAAGAGTGATACAGAAGTTTATGAGAGCTGCTTGAGCATTTCATTTTTTATCTATTCTGTGTCTCCTTCAATTTTTGCTAGGAGTAATTTTTTCGTTAAAGCGGAACCTGTGTAAAAAAGTTGCCCGTATGGGAAAGGATAAACCCGCTCGGTTTCGGCCTCTCTTACCCTCGGCCTTTCCCCTTCATGGTCCTTTGTTAAAAAATATGTCCACCGGCCATCCTGGTGTCTATGAATCCTATCAAAACAAAATACTATCATAATTACAGTATGGCAAAATCAACTTATAAAAATCAAACTATGCCGGTACCAGTCTTCAATAAAGGGATAAAATAATAAAACTTTGTTAACACAACCATTGGACAATACACTTTTAAGATCCAAACGAGCTACTATTGTGTATTCTTTGTTTTACTTATTTGGAAAAACAAAGGAAATACTTAGTCTTGCGTGGCCAAAAGCAGATTAATCGAAAGAACAGATCAAAAGAACAAAATCCCGGCTCACGCCCCTAAAGCCCTTGACCATTCCTAAAGCAGAATTAGTAGCAGCCCAAATAGGCGCACGAGCACTCCGATACGTTTAAAACGAATTGCAACTGAAAAAGCTAAGATCACGGCCTGCTCGGGTTCGAAATGCGTCCTATACTGGTTACGAAAAGCAAAGCCAGAAGCTCTCCCTAGGTTTATTCAGAATAGAGTAAAGAATATACACAAGCTTGGAATAAGATTTCGATTTGTGCCAACATGCGGCAACCCGGCTGATGTCGGCTCCCGAGGATGTCTACCAGAAGAACTCCAAGAGAATTTGTGCTGGTGAAAGGGACCAGAATGGTTATCACATAATGAAGCTGAATGGCCCAAAGACTTCGAGGTAACACAAGAAGATGTAACAGAGGAACCGCAATCAGTACAGACGCAACCAGCAACAACCTTCCTAGTCAATAATGTCCAAACAGAAGAAGTTATTGACGTCACTAGTTACAGCAGCTTACAGAAGCTAGAGTCAGTCATCAGCAAAGTACTACTTCTGGCAAATAAAGCAAAAAAGAGGCTCGATTTGCAACATAGTGTTTTAAAACAGAAGACATTAAACACAATTATAAGACTAGCCCGGCGGACGATCACGCCAGCAAAAATTTAAAGATGGCAATTGAGGAAAGATGAGGAAGGCATCTACAGGTCTCATGCAAGGCTGGACAACATCCCACATAGAATTCCCCAAGCGTACCTACTCTCCAACCACCATATTACACATTTGATAATATTACAGTAATACGTACAATCAATCCACGGAGGGGTAAGCTTAGTACTAAGCAATCTATGAGTACTGGGGAGACAAACAGTCAAAAAGATAATAATGAGGGGCTGCTATGGGTGTAGGAGACGAAGTGCAAGACCATTTAGGTTACCCCAATTCCAGCACTACCAGCCGAACGCACGACACCCTCAAGAACCTTTCAGCACATTGGGGTGGATTATTTGGAACCTGTACTAGTGAAGAAAGATAATTTAGTTTAGAAGAGGTGGATATGTTCATTCACATGTCTAGAAACTAGAGGTGTTCATCTGGAATACGCCACTAGTCTCTCATTTAAAGACTTTAATCATATATTTCAGCGCTTCTTAGCAATAAGGGGGCAACCGGAGACAATAATCTTCGACAACGCCACACAGTTTACAGCAGCGGTCAAGAAAAAAAAACAAAATTGCTCGGAAATTTATTGCAGCCCGTACCCCTTGTAAAGGAGTTTTTTATGAAAGGCTGATATGTTTAATTAAACAGACTATGAGAAAGGCGATAGGTAAAAAATTGTTGTCTGCCACAGGGTTAGAGGAATTAGCCAGCGCCACAATGGAAATTCTAAATTCTAGGCCTCTATTACAAGTGGAAGATGATTGCAATAAAATCTTGAGACCTGTAGACTTCCTGATCCCAGCAGTTCCCATGAAACAAACAGACAACTTAGAGCACAACCTCGCGGCACTCGACAATCAGGAATTAATAAAAAGACATTCATCACTACAGCAATGTCTTAAAAAACTGTGGGGATAACTGTGGGGGGCCTGAAACGGGACGCTAACATATGGAAGGTACTGCAACACAAGGAACAATTGGGCGCAGAATACGACCCCGTGAACCGCAAGTTACAGTACCTCAACGACAAAATGAGGCACTACATCAATCAGCAGGAAATAAAAGCTACAATCCAGCATTGCCAGCTGCGTAATATCATAGTAAGACACATCTATCAGCTGGCCGAAGAGCAACCATTGAAGGCGGCGCGACTACTTTTACAAGGAAATAAAATAATGGCAATAAAGGCCGGGGAAGCCTTAGCCATCTCACCATGCACAGACGTCTTACCAGAAATTGTCCAATGGGACCACAAGATCAATAGAACATGTTTCAAGGATCTTCCAGTATACTTAGCAAATCAGTGAGTATTTGCATCACCCTACGCAAAGGTCATTAAATTGACTTCCAACAGGATAGATTGTCATGACAGAACGCTACCAGTTTATAAGCGAAATGGGAAGTAGACGGACGGAGACCATGAGATCCGCTTACAAGAGTTGCATCAAGAACTTACACCTGTACTATATAAGCAACAAATGGATTTTACGGCTC